CCGAAAAGGGATGCAGCAGCAGCCGCTGCCGCCGTCTTGGAGTGAGATAAGTAATATATAGATGGATGGAAATGTGTGTATACACACACCCCATCACTGCACTGGAGACCCGCTCCCCCAGGGCAGTGGTAGCACTGCCCTCCACCACCCCACTGCACAACCTGGGGCAGGTGTCCCACCTTTGAGCACCCAGATGTTCCTGGCCATTAACCCCAGCTGCACCCCACCCCTGCCAGCCAGACATAATTGCTCCAGAGCCGCCACAAAGGAACACAGAGCAGGGGAGAGGAGACCCTGGGGGTAGCCAGGACCACTCCTAGGAAGGGCTTTGAATGCCAGGACAAAGATCTCGAGTGAAGGTCTGCCTGCAGTGGGGACTAGCAGAGATGTGACATACCTAAGAGGTGCCTTCGGTCACCCATGGGGTGGACAGACAAGCTGGTGCCTTCTCAGAGGCCATTTAGATGTCCAGTCATTGCAAGACAGGACAGAGGAACAAATGATTTATTTTTCATGTGAATATGAAGATCAGTAGGACATATTGGCCCACAGGAGGGCATGCAGACTAAGAGCAAGCCCATAACAACTTGAGGGTTGTTTGTGGTGGGATTTACTCATTGTGGTCCTGTGGGATGGGCTAACCAGGCAGTACCTGGCAGCTGGAGTGGCGAGCGCAGCAGTCCTGCACCAGGCAGGCACGCAGAGCGGCTCTTGGGTTTGCTGTGATGCCGACTGTCTCGACAAGGATGTCTGCTCTGAAACACTTCACTGAAGTAGCCCATTGCCAGGTACGGAGGAAGTGGAGAAGACCCCCCACACGATTCTGGGGCTTTCCCCATACACCTGCTCCCAAGGGCTTGTTACTCCATTTCCTCCCAGTCCTGCTTCCCAGTCCCTGCAGCTGCTCCGGCAGCCAGAGCAGGGGTGGAAAACTCCAGAAGGGACTGGGATTTCCCTAGCAAGGGTCCCAGCACAGGGCGGGCAGCACGAGAGCAGGAGGGAGAGCAGATGCGCTCGGTGCCCTGAGGTTAGTCAGATGTTATCAGCAGAGGAGTGGGGTGGGGTGTGAGTACACCTTGCTCTCCAAGCTGACTTCATCCTCAGCTGCGACTCCTCCAGATCTGGGAGGAGAGAGCAGGAAAACTGACTGCAAATCACTCCTGTTTCATCAGATTACCTTTGCAAGCAGAGAAAGCCAAATGCCAGCTTTTGAAGCTCAGCTTACACCAGGCAGAGCAACAGCTGCCGTTTTACATGGACCACAGCTGCCAGCACCCTCCATCCCCTCAGCTCTTGCCCTTCCACTGCCAGTTCCAGTCCTTGTCCTTGGCTGGGTACCAGAGACACTTCCTCCCCCAAGAAAGCAGCAGGGAGAGTCAGGGAAGCGAGCAGGGATGGAGAGCCCCAGGAGCTGCCTCCCCGTGGGGGCTGCCCCCCTTGCACGGCGGCACCAGCAGATTCCCCTGCCCCAGGACCCTGAAACAGCCCATCAGGGCGCTGAACATGACGGAGGAGCTCTCCTTTCTCCAGCCAAGCCAGCTTGGCTGCTGGC